TTTTCTAGCATATCTAATTATTATTTCATTCTCAATCCTTCTCTGCTGTTCCCGAGTCCACCCTGCTCTCCCCCTTCTCTGAACACAGAGCGCTGATATTATATTGGCTGCCTCAGTTTACAAATTTCCTCATATTTATGTCTCTGTGCAGACTTAACCCTTCACCTCCAAGTTCTCTGTCCACAGTGCTGGATAGTCTTAATAAATACTGCTGATTTTTAAATTTTTATGTGTTTTTATATGCTTTAATAAAGAAATAATATTTAATAAAGAAAAGGTTCATAGTTTATAGAACTTAGAAAAAGTGAATTAAATCCCCAGTAAAAGCCATTCATTATCCACTGAAATAGAAATGGATGTTTCAGTTTTCCAGTCTTGCTCCTAGTCCCTGTTTTCCTTAAAATTCCTATTTTATGAGTCAGTTACTCCAAAATTTATTTTCATTATCTTTCAGTTCTATTTGAAAAAAAATGGGACACATAGAAGTAATATGTGGAGGAAGCTCTCACATTCTATTTTCATGTAAATTTTTACATGATAGTCTTCAGAATTTATTATACCATGATACATAAAACTAAATTTACATGGGTATTTTGTACATTAGGTATTGTTTTTTACCCTTTCCATATTCACTATATAATGTTGCTCTAATTGTTTTTCATTTACTCATACTTATTTCTTTCCCATGTGTCAATATGTTAACATATCAATGTCAAAATATGCTCTTTTATAGGGTATGATTTTTCCCAATATTACTTTAAAATTAACAATTGAGTCCACAGAGTAAAACAAGCTAGAAAAAAAATGACTTATTTCTGTGTTGTGGGCCATATTCATAAGAAAATGTAAAACCAATTTTGCCTACACTGTCATTATCAAGTGTATGAAAAAATTGATAGCTTAACTCTACCGTGCTCATAAAAAGAAGCCATTCCATAGAGGCATTATTTAAATATATTTTTGGTTTGATCTAGTTTTAAAAATAAGTGAAAATTTCTCCATAAGCAGAATGAACTGAAGAACTCCATATAGATCCATTCTTGCAACCGTCTTAATGACCAGTAGTATTGACTTCAGACAAATCTTTCATTTAGAGGTTCACATACAATGCAGCAAAACCATTCATTTAAAGCTATTGCTAAATATATTTGATGTGGAAATTGAGACAATCATTCACTTCCCTACTTAAAAATCAAACTCATAAAAATTATTATACTCTATATGAAATCAAAGTCATAAAATGTTATTATATCCAAATAAAAACTGCCCTGGCAAAATGAAATTTAAAAAAATTATTTACGATTTTGTGGCATGAGCTATGGAGATGGATTGCCTGGTTTTGAATCTAGGATCCACCACTTACTAGCTATGTAACTTTATACAAGTTTTTTAAATTCTCTGTGTCTCAATATAAAATAGAAATAATAATAGTATCTACCTCAGGGTGTTATTGTGAAAACTAAATGAATTAACATATGTCAAGTACTTAGAACAGTTCCTGGAACCACCATAAGTATTTTGTTTGTTATTGTAGCTCTCATTACTATTAAACTAAAGAAAATAGACAAAAGGGTTTGTCTACTATTTATATATTATATATATAAAGCACTCACAAAGACAAATAAATGTCTAACCCTGTGGGGGAAAAAGACTTGAATTCTGGTATCAACTCTGCCTTTAAATAGATATGACTTTTAGGACAAGACATTTAATCACTCTGTGCCTTATTTCCTTATGAAGAGTAAGGTTGGGGTTCATCTGTAAGATCTTTTCTTGTTCTAGTATTGAAATGAGCTTTATTCATAAATCTGTAATCATTTGCATAATGGATCTCAATTATGTTCAATGCTAAAGTTTTAAAGAATTTTATATCACAATTCTTTATGTAAAGTCAAAATGTCTTATAGTCAACTGCATATTTAATTTAATTTTAATTGACTTAAATTATGTTTATAAGGTTTAAAGATTGCCTGCTTTTTTTTCAGTAAGTGTTAATCTTATGGTTGCTTCTAGCTTGGCAACAAATAATTTTGTATATAATTTAAAAGGGAAGCCTTGTTTTAAAAGAGCATTTTAATGATAATTTCTCCTTTTCAGGGGTTTTTTGGTAATATAATTTCCCTTTAAAATTTTACAACTCTTGAAAACATTTTCAAGAAAGATATATTACAATGACATTTATCTTTAGGCATTATGATTAGTTTTGAAATGTTTAAACTGACCAATTTATTCCTTTGATGAAATAGGAAACGTACATTGACTCACTGGATGATTTTAATTAAAGAACAAGTTTGAGTTAGAGAAAGTGGGGGGTATTTTAATTGGATAATTGTAATACATCTTAAAGCCTTGTGTTGAAAATATTGACGCAAACACATCTCACAAAATCAAGTGATTTTTCAAATATAATGGTATTTCCAACTAAAATATGTCATCGTGATTTTGTATTGAAAATGATAAAACTTCAACTTCTGTAAAGTTGATCATTTTAAAAAAAGATAATTAAAACCTGCTAGAGCTGACAACTACAACATTGCACCTTCAACATTTTCCACTAATTACAGCTGCTAATTTTCAAAGGGAACTGTTAAAGTGAGTCAGATATGACCTAAGGACATATTCTCCACCTCTTTTTTTTTTATTATTTAGAAGAAAAGTTTTTTAAACAAAACATTTCCAAATATATTATGTATCCATAATATAATTTAATTTTTATGGACTACTTTTACTTTTTTGTTGTTTTCTGAACTTTGCATCCTGTGACTATATATATATATATATATATATATATATATATATATATATATATCATTATAGTTGACATTCGATATTATTCTACTTCAGCTTCTGGTATATAGTGCAGTGGTCAGGAATCTACACAGTCTATGAAGTGATCCCCCTGCTAAGTCCAGTACCCATCTGGCACCACTTTTACTTTTTTGATGTTGGAAAATAAACATTAATTATTTTGTAAAACGTTATATACAATAACCAAACCAAAACAACAGAAAACCTACATGTGTTGCTTATTAAAATATATAGAAACTAAACACTGAGGCCTAAGTCCTCAAGGTCCTTAATTAGTTGCTTCCGACATATGTCTTTCCCATTAAATTATAACCCATGACTTCCCCACTTCAGCAAGCCAACACCCACTCTCTAGCCATAATATGTTCACTTCCTCTCTGGTCATCAGGATCGTCATCTGCTTTGGGGCATTTCACAACTAATTTTCTCTAAGAAACTTTCACAGGTTAACATTACATGGGGAATATCTGAGAAAGCATAAAAGGAAGGATAAATGTAAGTGCTTAAGAGACTTGTTAAAACATAACAACTAAGGAGAAGGCAGTCAGCAAAATTTTAGAGCAATGAGTTTTGTTTTGTTTTTACCTTTAATTTGGAAAAACAAGTCATTAATAGTTACTATGTGTCATGTACATTCAAATAGCACATTCTCTTAGTCACCTATTCTTTCTCCTTCACCCCTTAAAAGGTGTACAGAATATTGTTTTGAACTGAATGTTGTTGTTTTTTTTAATCCTGCCACCTGTTGGCAGCTCAGCAGTAGCTCAGCTCGGGCCGGGAATCAAACCGGTGATCCTGTTGCTCAGAGCTCAAACTCTTGAGCAAGCTCTTAACGAACTGAGCCACTCAGCCAGCCCCTGAACTGAGTGTTTTAATAAAATTGTTACCTTGGTTTAATTTGGCTTTGCCATCTTAATGGTAAACTGCCACTAGGTAAACAGGGACTGTGCTGCCATTTTGTTTTTCTTTTCTTTTTTTTAAATTCTGCTCTACTATCTCAAGTTCTTGTGAAAGCAAGCCTGGTACAAATATATTTTTTTAAATTAAAATTTACTGGGGTGACAATAGTTAGACAAATACATTATTTTTAAAAAGGAACATTGTATTATTACGTCACAAATACTGTGAGAAGGTGAGGGGTACACTGGAGGACACTTTAATCAATTAATCTACAAACTTAAATTATTTTTGAAAGAAAAAAACCTTCCCATTATACTTTGAACATTATTTTAAATTTTGTTTAATTTAATAGAATCTTAAACAACTTTTATGCATTTAATTGGAGATTGGGGGGATGTACTACTAGCTTATTCAATCAAATCATCATCTTACTGGTTCAAGAAATTCCATATATTTATTCATTAAAACAACATTTTGGGGCAGCCGGTTAGCTCAGTTGACTAGAGCGCAATGCTCATAACACCAAGGTTGCCGGTTTGATCCCCACATGGGCCACTGAATTGCATCCTCCTCAAGTAGATTAAAACAACTACTTGACTTGGAGCTGATGGGTCCTGGAAAAACGCCCTCCACAACTAGATTGAAACAACTACTTGACTTGCAGCTGATGGATCCTGGAAAAACACACTGTTCCCCAATAAAATAAAAAAATTTAAAAAACGACGTTTTGTTTGCTAGTTTGGTATATATTTGTTGAGTACTTTCTCTGTACCAGGCATTGGAAATACAAGAATAAGAAAGAACAGTCCGTCTACCCAGGGTGCTCAACGTCCACAGAAAAGGTATTTGTTCTGAAAATAAGTACTTCTGTAATTTATCATTACATGAATAATTGATGGACCTAATGACATCTCTGCATAATCCAAAGGGTCTTTAAGTCTCCGTAGGTTAGCATCAGTAGGGCTATAGTGTATCTTTGCTCTTAATTGATTTTTAGAAATTAACAATACATTGACATATGTAGTCATCCAAGCCAATAGAAATATTTACTGTAATTTCTGGGATTTTTGTTGTTGTGTTTTATGTTTCTCCCCACATGGTATCAATCAATATATTGAAATAGAGCCTTCCTTTTCCCTTTATTTATTTCCACTGCTAACATTTTAAGCTTGACACAAATCTTCTAAGAAAAAGTTCAAACACTGAAAACGGTAGTTCAGATAAAATTTGTACTCCTGAAAAGACCCGGAAGAAGCGTGACTTATATGGTATTGAATATATATAAAACTCACCTTGAAATACCTGCATTAAAACCCATTTTGGTACAGTCCTCATAGTGCTCTGCAATCAGCTGTGGGGTGGAGGATGAAAAGAGGGAAAGGAAGAAAAAGATCTTTGCCTCCAGTACAATGTATCAGTTGAAACTTAAGTAAAATAGATGCACTAAAAAGATAGGGCTTCAATAACCTAATACTACATTAGGTGGGAGTTTCCACAGCAGGACGTCCAATGTCCCTTTAGTTTCAGGGGTACAATGATTGTGTATTCCCTGATGGATAAAGTACTGTTAACAGAAAAGCATTAATGACTCTGACATGTAGTCACAAATATTCTAGGGATTCAAAATGGGGCAGTCTCTACTACCCTTATTTGTCTGCTGGGGAAAGTTAAATAAAAATGTCATATCCACTAATTGGCCTTTCTCCCTTGGACTGTTACAACAGTTCAACAAACCTAACAGATAGAATTGGGAATCTGCAGTAGGTTTATGAAACAGTAGAATGCATAGATTCAAGGCACTACATATGCAGTAGGTGTGAGCCTGGCCCCATATACTACTAGTATTTATTTTCTGAAGCTGAGGAAAGTGGTCATACCTTGAATATTAATCACATATTATGTCACTAAAAATTCATAATTAGCTACATGTTAATTTCAATTTTCTTCAGTTGTGAAATTGATCTTAATTATAATGGTTCCAATATCAATTTATACTCTCTTAGATGGGAATTTCTAATTCTGTAAGGAGGATAGCAAAACATTGTCTCACCCAAGCTTGTCAGCTTCTTCACAAGACTACAAAGTTGAGAGCAGCTGAGGCAAGACCTCTCTGGCATGTGATCTGTGGAATCCTTCTTACCCACAAAAGGGTTTTCCTGTGGTAGGTCAAACACTTTGAGTTGGATTTCAAGAAACCACAAATCTAAGTTCAGCAAGTAGATAACATATGACAGAGGTTCATCATTATATAGCATGGTCCTCCAATTTGCTGTAAGGGCTACAAATCAAGCAAAGGTTAATAATGGTTTTTTAGTACAATTTTAGATTTTGGAAAAAGGAAAGCAAGGCATGAAAGCTTGTTTTCAATATGATTTTATGGATCTCTCTTGGATTAAAAAACAAAACGTCCACACATGTTTGGAGGTAGGGTATATTGGAAAAGTATTTCAAGGCTTTGAATAAAAGAAGCTTTAAAATTTTTGAAAAGCCAGCTTACACTGTTGCATTCTTAGTTCTAATTAAGTCAGATCTGTTAAAGCATTTAATGCATATTTATGTAGAAATTTTGGCAACTTGCTTACTATTTGTATTACATATTGAGTGATTATATTGGTGTTGATAAAAAAATAGAATTTAAATGAAAATATAATTAGAATGATACTGATATAAATGTTCCTCTTTAGGGGATAAAATTGCTTACATTGTAAACGGCTGCAAGTTATATTTTTTAATATGGAAAATGGAAATCCTGTTCCTTATTACTTCATGATTATGACCTTCCTAAAATTCCAGAGACATGTGTTTTTCACATCCATTTCTTCCTAGAGCAATGCTATCCAATAGAATTTTCTGTGATAATAGAAATGTTCTATATCTGCTTGGTCCAATATGGTAGAGACATGTGGCTGTTAATCACTTGAAATGTGGCTAGTGCAACCGAGAAAACAAATTATTAATTTTATTTAATTTTAATTGAAATAGCCACATGTAGCTAGTAACTACCATATTGGGCAGCACAGTTCAGAGGCATTTTATATTCTGTATTTAATTTAAGGTATGCATGAATTTACTTAAGAAAAACTTGTTTTGTTAGGATACTCTATCCTCTTCCATCCATCTGTCCATCTATTCATCCATCCATCCAGTTTATTAATTTTAAGCACCCTTAGTGTGTAAAGCACTATATTAAGTTTATATAATAGAGGAGCTTTACACTATGTTAATTGTGTACAGTGAGAGAAATAAGACAAGACTTATGCAAGATAAATAATACATTCAATAGGCTGACAGGATAAAAAGCAAAGTGCTAAGGGAATACCAAAGAATGAAAACACTTTGGGATAATGGGATTAGGAAGAGGCTCATGGAGGACATAGTTATTTCAATGTTTTTGTTAACTGGTACAAGATATAGGAAGGATTGTAAGGGAAAGAGATCACAAGACAGAAAAGTCTGGACTTTTGTTTGGAAAGTGGGGATAAAGAAGAGGGAATCCCCCAAGGTGTTTTAAATCTGAGTGACTGAAAAGGTTAGTATTAAGAGCAGATAAGGTCAAGTCAGGAGGATGAACATGTTTTGTAAGAAAATATTGAGGCTAAATAAGAGAACGTATTTTAAATCTAAGATATTTATAAAAGTTATTCGATTATACAGTTACTTGTTATAAAAGTAATTAAAAATTAGTTAAAATGTTAGCCATCAAATTAAATGTATATGTTCATTGTAATAGTGTTAATGGTAAATAAGATCAAGGTGGAGGTCAGATATGCTTCAAGAGAACTCTAGTAAAGTATGATCATCAATCATCTATCTAAACTTCCATTATGTTGGTTTCTCTATTTAAAGACTAAAGATTAGGATAGCTACAGTAAGGGGAGCCAAATGCAAACATATGTGAATTTTCCCTTAATCCCTACTTAGAATTCTTATTGAGCAGAGTCGGATAACCTAAGATATATCAAAAAAATTTCATGCCCTAAGAGAGTGCCTTAAATTCCTCAGATAGTATTGCATTCTGTGTTAATCTAAAAGCAAAGATTAAACTTTGGGGAAGTAAATGTCCTTATCGTGTGATGTAGGCAGCTAATAAAATGCCATACTATAAAACCTTAGTGATGGGTTTACTTATGTTCAGACCTACCATGTTTCTTTTGGATATAAATGTATTAACACGTATTAAATTTGAAAAAAAGTTAGCATTGATCTAGAGATCATTGTTCTTCTTGTTTTGTTTGCCTTTCTGAATTAATGTTCACTGTTTTGACAAGAAAATAATGTTTCCTTCCTTTGCAAATAGAGAAAAAAATTTCAGATTTCTATAGATTGAATAAATGTGATTTTAAATCATCAGGTACTTAATATAAATACCTAACTATTGGGTCGTCGGGAAAGTCATGATGCATTTTTGCATTGAAAAACATAGGAAAACACGTCATGACTTTCCCGACAACCCAATAGTTTGAATGTACATTGAATTATAGGAGATAGTCAAGGTTGATCTCTGAATTCAATAAAGACTAGGCCTGTTAACAGGCTAACATTATTTTCATACCTGAATTTTCATCTCTGGATTCATAAATTGAACAGATACGATATGGGTGTTATTTCTTTTGAGGCAATTAAGATTTCCAGGAATTATGTTAACATGAGTGCTCATTGTTTCCATTAATAAGAAATTTGAAAGTTGAGAAATTGTGCCTCTTTATATTTAGTATTTTATAAACTAGTCAGGTGTACTTTAAGACTTAGGGGCTATGACTATGTAGGCAATTTTCTTCCTCTAGAATAATATGAGGATCAAGAGGTTGTGAATATACAGTTTGCTGACATGTGGATTCTTAACTCCTTGAATTTCTACCCCCTATCGCTATTAGCTTGTCCACTAAGATGTTATTTTGGTAAGTGAATTAAAATACTACTTTTCTGATCTCTCTCTCTCTCTCTCTCTCTCTCTCTCTCTCTCTCTGAGACACACACACACACACATCATTTTTATTACTAATTAATAGCATAAATGGCAAATGTCTGAGATCTATCAGATTTACCTCCTCAAATTACTTTTGGTTCTCAGTAATGCAACATGTCAATGTGCCTAATTCATTCCAAACTAAACGCTAAAGATATAATTGTCTATGAGAAAAATTCTAATGAGTTATTGACAGTACATTTAGGATGTGTGTGTTTTAAAGGTAGTTGCTCTGAAATTCAAGATGAACTTGCTCTACACTATGGAGGCCAAAATATACTGTTTTACAGTTGACCTCCTCTCAGAGAATACCTTCCTCTTTGATAAATTCTGTTAAAATAAAGCTGGGATTCCAATATTTAATGCTTTGGGTCCTTCTGTTTTCATCCTGCTAGCTTGATGACTGACTAGTAAATTTGTATAGTTGCAAAGTGAGGCAAAATTACTTTAAAGTCTAAGCACATTTATTGTAGGAAAATTCGATATTGAGTGAAATACTATATTTCAAGGTACAGCATTACTACAATGAGCTACCTGCTAAATGTTGAGTCTAGGACTACTAAGCATAGTGTGCATTGTACAGAATAGCAAAAGGTTGTGCAAATTTTCAGGTGTAGGAAAAATAGAGAGTGCAGTAATATTATGTTTGAGAGGTTAATAAAAAGCAGTATGCTACTTTCATAAGTTACTTTGGTTGGCCAAAGACATTTTCATCAGTTCAGATCATGGAATTCCATGATTTTTGTCCATGAGGCTCCAAGAATTTACTAAAGAATATTCGGGATAAAACAAGTGACAAAACTTAAATTAACTGTCATTCATAAGTATTTCTAGGTGTAAGAAAAAGTTATTCTAATGGTTTTAAGGTTAAGAGAAAGTCCAGCAAACAACCACATGACTAAAAGAGGTTGAAAGGCCTGACCTAAGATTTTGCTAATATAGAACATCAGAGAAAGATGAATGGGCAGAGAGGAAACCAACATATCAGCCAAAGGAAACATACTGAGCTCACTTTAACAGTCTCCAGTAGACAACCATCCTCATTGGTTGATTCAACCTTATGAATTAATTTGTCAAGTCCAGTTAATGTCTGTCTTAGGTATTGATTCTCCCTGTTCATGTTTATATCAATAAGGGGTACAGAGAAGTTTCTGTTAAACTGTTTGAACTTTGTTGAATTAGGAGTACTTATCTCATTGCCTCTCTGATTCTTAAGTGCATTAGGTCTATAAGACCACACATCCCTGATGTTTTTGACAGTAGAAAAACTCCATCTTTATTTAGATTTCACAGAAGCCATGAGTAAAATGTTGTTTACTCCCTGCTCTTCTGTACATGTTCAGATGTAATTGCATGGATACAGTAGGCAAGGGAAAACAACAAGTAACACAGGTACTAGCCCCTGTCAAAATCAAGAAACTTTCTGAATTGTTTATCATTGTATTTTTCCTGCACTCAATAACTGTGGTTAACTACCAAATTCTACATTGCCTATTATCCTTCCACCAGCTTAAAACCTAAACTTAAACTCAAATTTTGCATAGAGAAATTTGGTTCATCAGCGAGATCAAAATTCCCTTCACCTAGGTGCCTTATTAGATGAAAAGTAATAGGAGAAAAGAAATTCCCACAGGTGAGATAACTGAAATTTACACTCCTTTGGACTTAACATCTTGAGAAAAGTTTCTTTTGTAGTTTCAGATTTCTGTGGGCTACAGTTTCCTAAACAGGTGTACTGTGGAGATTATGACAAATCTCCACTTAGAGAATTCAAGATATCTAAGAGAATTGTCATAACCATGAAAGGTGAGAAACGTCAAATGCCCATTCTCTTCTTTTAAAACAAAACAACTTCTTCTACTGGAAATCAAACCCTTTAAAGTGGCTGTGCTGTAGCAAACACAGGACATTCCTTCACTTTCATTCTCTTTATTCTTCTATCAAGTTTTATTTTTAGGATACCTCAAGACAAGGGAAAAAACATAAAAATTTCTTCCCAATTTTCAAAAGTTAGTAAATCCTTAGAATATTCATTATATGTAGATCAAAACATTGAACCACATGTTATTACAATGACAGTCAATTTAAATCAAGTTTGAACAACAAACTTTTCTCTCTTCCCTCATGGATACAGTCCTGATGATCTTCCCACTTTATAGTCCTTTAAATTATTCACATAAAATGTACTAA